TTAATCGATGTCGTTGTTCTTGGCCAGCAATCCGCACATAGCCTTCTGGCTAAGGTGCTCGCAAGGAATGCTGTATTCCCGAATGTACTGGGGAGTGGAAGAGGGAGCAGGGCGCTGCACGTCTGTAAGGAGCCAAGCTGCTTGCGCAGCTCCCCCCATCGAAGCCTGGCCAAGTGCCTTAGACACGGGCTCTGACGGGCCACCTGCAGCTCATCAGGGCCGGCCATGCAGAGGGCAGCCAGCCAGCGCTTCCATTGCTTGGGCGCACAGGACTGTAATGGGGGCAGAGGAGAGTAATCTGAGCTGAAGCGTGTGGAAAGGAGCGGTCAGAGAGGCATCTTTGTGTTGGGGCCTGTTCTTTTATAACAGGGGGATCTTGCGGGGGGGGGGGGGGGGGGGGAGGACTTGTTCATCAAACTTGAAAAGTTTTGTCAGGGACGGTCGAATCCGACAGCCTCCTGGCAGAGGTGAGGCTGCTGCAGCTCAATGCCCCATGTCCAACCAGTAGCAAGACTGACCACATATTCCCAGTAGGCACAGGCACTTGGACACAAGTATACAACACATGCATGTACACACAGATAGACACAGGCAGACACACACAGCACTCGCGTGAACACAAACAGCACCAATGGTCTCATACTGTACCCTTCTCTGGTGGTTCAGGATGAAGGTCTGTTAGTGGGAACACACACACCCCAACAGAAAACCACCACCAACAAAAAAGTAGATGTCTCCAGCAGCTGGGCTCAGGCACTCTCTGCCCAGTAACAGCTGCTGGATCTTCGTCTTTCCAGTTGCTGGCACCTGGATGTTCAAGCTCTTGATTTTGCTTGGTCACGCTGGTCTCTACAGTCTGTGGCACCACAGACACATGGGTGCTCTGACCTTTGGTCTGGCTCCAGTTGCTGGCACTCCCCATACACACATGTGTGCTCAGAATGAGAATCCATCATCCAGGAAAATAATTAGGAATGGAATTTAATGAAAAGATAGGACAAAGGGTGCTGATCAGGCACAGGGCATGGCCAGACAATTGTTCTGACCAGCCCCTGTTTACAGGTGGCCAGCCGTTTTTATCTTCTTATCCCTCTATTTTTTCCCCACATTTGTTTCTCCCCGAATCACCTCTTTCCTTGCCATTCGTTCCTTCCATAAGCATCCCATAATAAGTCTTGTACAATCATAATTCCCTGGCATCTTATAATGTGCCCCATACCATTGGGCAGCAACCCCTCTCAGTTCAAAAGGTGCTCTAGCGGTGACTTATCTTGATGGGTTTTATGGCTGGAAACTGGGGTGGAGGCTCTCCTGTGACAGCCCCGGGAGGGGCCTGGATGGGGTATCCTTTCCTTGGAGCCCTTAATTTGGGTTCCCTGCCTGGCCTTGTGCCTCTGTCCTCCTCTGGCATGTGGAGATGGGCCTTTGGTGGGCTGATGGGCCTGGGAGGAGCTGGGCAGGGTGTTATATGGGCTGCCCCACCTGTGTTGTTCCTCTGCGCTCCTTTGTGGACACGCAGACAAGCACCTGACCTAACAGGCAGGATAGGTAAGGGAGCTGTTGCAAGGTTGCTCAGCTATGCGTGTCCCTGCTGTGGATTCAGGAAAACCTTGTACCAATTGCAGCTGTGGAGTACCAATGAATAGGTTATGTCTATTCTAACACCTTTATTTTTTGGAGTGATTGTCTTAGAAATGGAGATGAGGCATGCACAATATATAGAAGAATGTGTCCTGGGTGAAGTCTGTCACGTTTATCTATGGAAACTGTATACAGAGTCTGTATGTAGTGATAGACTTTTTTTGCAATAAATACTAGCATAGCTTATTGTTAGCGGCGTTAGGACTGGGCTTGTGATTCTGCACCTTAGTTGAGAAGCTACTGATCAAGCTGAAGCTTGTAAATAAGGGAATTCTCTTTTATGAGGTTAGATATTACAGTTACAAAACCAGACAACCTTTCACAGTCACTTCATCCGTATGTATGTATACTTGTTTTGAGAGAAGAGGGCAGTATAACATGTAACTACAGTATCATAAGCATACACGATACACAGGTTAAAAGGTCAATTTAATTAACATAGAACCAAACAAGGATGTTGATGCCAACAGTTCTAACAATCTATAATAGGTATTTTTGCCTTTTTTTTACAATACTTTTATTACATAGAAATTAATTTAGCCTTTAACTATGGAATTTATTTGAAAACCAGATCGTAATTATAGGCATAATACTGTTATTTACAAACTTCGGAATTAATGTTGGTGCTGCTTTCTAAGGAATGTGATGTCTCATATTTTTAATGATTACACTTGCTGTCACAAAGATTTCAGTATTCATCTGTAACTTTTGTTTATTGTGTCAGCTAATGCTTTTTAGTCACCAAAATTAACGTGGTATGTTTACAACATTTTAATGACTCTAAGATTTGCGCATGAGAATGGGTAAATGGTGCCACATGCAGAACACATATGGTCATAGCATTTAAAATAAGTGCTTCTTGGTATGTGATTGTGTGACCTCTGGTTACCGGGCTGGGGGATTATGTGTAGGGATGTTCTGGCAGCTGCATGGTAGGTTTATGGTCTCAAAGAATGAAGAAAAGAGAAACAAAGACATATCTTTGTCAAAAGAAGGAGACTTAAACCTGTAAAGTATCTTAGAGGTTCCTTAAAACCTGTGGTTTGTAGGTGGTTTTGTGAACTTAATACGAAGAGGCAATAGCTCACACTGATTTTCTGAATCATCAGTTGTCCCCCCGGCAGCTGAAATTAATATCGTCATTAATAAAAAGTGTCATGTTTATCTGCAGGCAGATACATACCATATTGACGCTGATTTTCTCTCCCTTTTGTTGGAATCGTCAGCAGCGTGATGCAATTGATATGCTATAAATAGAAGTTGTCTTGAGGATACAATTGATCGTAGCGTTGATGTGGTAGCTTTCTCTTGTTGATACTAGCATTACGATGTGGTACCTGGCTAAACAGTGTATATAGTATCAAGGAATAAAACCTTACAACGCTTATTCAAAGCATGTAAATATAACTTGTTTTCTTGTCAATTGAGGCACAGTGGAATTTTGAGTTAGAGCTTAAAGCAGGTTTATGCACTGTTTCAGGTATGAAGAGTTGTCATTTCCCTTGGAAGAATTGCTAGCGTGCTGTATCTATGCATGCTCTGAATATAAAGTTGAGTCCTGTGCATACTTGCAGAGATACTGAGACACATATTTGGGCAGCACAGCTAATTCTCAAGCTTTTTATTTGCTTTCCTAATACAAATAATCTTTGGAAGATTAGAAAAATGTAATTTTCAGAATATTTGTGGATATTTGCTACTTATCAAGATGAATCAGCAGATGAGTATACTGAAATATAGTATGACAAGAGAGGAGTTCTTACAGTTAATTCCAGATGACCTAAAGGATTTTAAGCAATAGTATTTTATTGTTTAAAGGTTTAAAAAGCATCTGTTCTAGGGGAATAGAATGCTACTGTCATATCTGTACTGCCACGGCTACTGTACAGAGTACGAGAGTATCAAATTTATGTAGAGAACCTAAGAGTGAGTTGGGAGACGGAGGAAGTAGCCTGCCAGGTTGGCGTCAGCCCAGTAAATCAGTTTCTTGGTGCTGCAGATTAAATATCTACTGGTGTCTGTACAATTTTGTCAGGTCCATCTTTTGCATGGGTTAAATGGCACAAATTCTGCCTCTCTTCGTGACTGTCCGAGTAGATAATATGCTTTCCAGAGCATGGGGATTCTTCAGTATTATGTGTAATGCAAATGTGTAGGGTGTACACACCAAAACAGAGAAGGCCAAGTTAATATTTTGGATAAAATGGCTACCGGAAAGAGGAAATCGTTTTCTCTCTGAATGGGAAGGGAGTGTGAAAACAATGAACGTGATGGATACCTTAATTATGTCTTTGATTTTGGTAGAAACAAGTCTTTGACTAGTTTAGTTAGGGACAATTAATATATCACAAGCTTCGTGCAGTTTAGACCCTGTTACTGACTGTGCAAGATCTAAATTACCAAACTGTAGTCTGTTACCTAATTAATTGAAAGTTTGTCATGTGCTTTTCCATACTTTTTCCCACATTCTTCCTGTTTTTTTCTGTGGAGCACTTCTGCGTGTGTGCTCCCAACTCGAGTTTGAGTTCTGGTTTAAACAAAAAGGCCAAAGGAGCTGGTTGATTGGTACTCATTCCTCTCCATGGTCTATTCCTGCTCTTTTTCTCTGTGAACTGTCTGTTTACTTTTAAGCTTTTCATTTTAAGAAGTTTTACTCACACTTGACAATATTTTGAAGAGTGGGGAAAATACAGAATAAGAAAGCTATTTTCAGTGAAGTGTCATGGAAAAATGGCATGTTACTTAGTGTATCTATTCCCTATATGGATTTGCAATATTATCGTCTGTCCTTGGCAGGAATCGAGTTTTCCTTTTCTTGCCTCTGCAGATCTAAGCTGTTGTAGAACAATGCCATGGAGCCTCTCTTGGCTTGCCCCTCCAGAAAAGCGTGGCAGGTGCTGCTGGAGTGTTTCGAGCTGAATAGCTGCCTGACCAGAACGTCTGTGAAATAAGGGTTACAGGTGGTGGTGTCCAAGTTGGAAAGATTGGCTTTCAGGTGCCAGACTGATTATGCAGGTCTGAGAGATTAAAAACCCAAAGAAACAAAAATGCTAACATTTTTTTCTTTTCAGGTTTGGAAAAAAGTGTCACTGTTGTGGGGGGGGAACAGGGAAAAAGTTGGTATTTATGGGTTTTATTTGTGGGGTTTTTGGTGGTTTTGTGTGTTTGGTTTTTTTTTTTTTTTCCCTTTTTTGCTACAATTCAGTTCAGAAAATGCTTCAGTTCCTCAAAAATAAGCAGATCAATTTTGTTTCCATGGAACACTTAAAACAGTCAAGTTCTGTAGCTGTTATTAAAAACATTTATGGATAAGATTATAAAAAAGCATGTGTTAATTTAGAGTTTGCTTTCTATTGCAGTTCCCAGAGTGTGGTTTCTTTGGCATGTATGACAAAATTCTTCTCTTTCGTCATGACCTGAACTCAGATAATATTTTGCAACGGATTACATCAGCAGAAGAGATACATGAGGGAGATCTTGTTGAGGTTGTACTTTCTGGTAGGTATTGTTGTAACAGTGGAACAGCACTTTATACAGTAGATTAAAAGAAAATAGGACTTCATGGAACATTATTATCATGCTTGCCTTGAGCTCTTTGACTTAAGTCTCACACTGGGTCTGTGTTTTTGGGTAGAGGCTTCCAAGAAAATCCAAGTGGTACTGGTACTTCAGTACTGAGTTTTGTTATTGTTTCCTTGTCATATTTTAATCTTCTTCAGGTTTATTATTATAAATAAATCTGAATTATAAGAATATGAATTTATAATTGTAATAATATAAGTTTATTATAATTATTGAAGCTGATATGCAGGTAGGATTCAGGACTTGCTCTTCCAACCATGTTGTTGGCTTTCTTTTGCTTAAATCTGTCTTTTTATTCTGTAGCTTTTGCCATTGATGGTTTATACTGCTAAAAGGCTTCATCTAAACGTAGTTGCTGAATCATACCTATAAGGACAGAGTCTTAAGGGTTATTGTAGTGTTTGATAACAGTTTCTTTTAAATGATAAAGTACTTAGAGTGGTGGTTATTAACCTGTAGTACTCTTCAATAACGAGGACAAAAAAAAACCAACAACAAATCCTGATTTGAACTGTGTGTGTTTCATCAGTACCCTGTAGAATTCAACCAAAAGCCAGCTGCAGTTTAACTACAAATAAAAGCTGGACTAATATCAAGCAGTTCTTTCAGACTTTGAGGACTAAGTGCCCAACTGAGGTTGTGTTCTAGAAAGAGAGATCTCTTGGCTGTCCTGGGATTAGATTTGTAAATGGGATCAATAAAGTATGATTTTTGGAGTCATAAGGCTGAGTTCCTTGGCTGCATTTCACGACCTACTGTTCTAAGCATGTCTAGGGTGTTCAGTAATTGATCATCTTGGTTTGAGCTCTTCATTGCTTCTGGTGAATGGCATATTTAAAAAATTTGTCTTGTGTGCCTCTTCTTGACAGGCTCTGACAGTTTCCTTATAAAAAGACAGACCACCATAAACTGAGGCATTTTGAAGACACATATCTCTTTCAGTAGGGTTTTAAAATGGAGACATGAGAATCCGACTATGAAGTGTTAGTACATATTTGATCAAAGAATAGAAAGAATAGTAGCCATCAGGGCAAGGCAATGTTGGTGTAAAACACTTTTTTTTTTTTTAATTAATTTAAATGTATCTATCCTTGTTTAAGAAAAAGAACATTACTAGTGAAGTTTCCAGTGTTCCATGGAAACTCTATCCACAGTTCTGTTTTAATACACACAGAATTCAACCTAATAAGCTTTTACTGAAAAAGTCATTTAGAAGATAAAAATCTACCCTATAGAGCTGTCCTTCATTTGAAAATTTCATAGGTTACAAAACAGCTTGAAAATTAAGTTGCTCTTTCAAATGTTTACTGTTAAGTTGATTTTAACAAAGCTTGTTGTATTTGCCTTCTCAGCTTAGTGAGGTTTTCGACATTGTGACTCATACTGTTGATTAGTTGTGGCTATTAGCCTACAGCATCCAACGGTTTTTCTCCTCAATAAAAAAGCTTTCTGAAAACTATGTAATCTTCTAAAAGCATGTTTAAATGGTATGCAGTAAAATGCTGATGTCTAAACAGCTCATTAGTGTTCTTTGAATCTGCCATTTTTAAAACAACATATTCTTTCCATAAATCCTTGTTGATCCTGTGGCAAGAACCATAACTTACTGCAATTTTTTAAAAGCTTTGGCTACAGTTGAAGATTTCCAGATTCGTCCTCATGCACTTTATGTGCATTCCTACAAGGCTCCTACTTTTTGTGACTACTGTGGAGAGATGCTTTGGGGTTTGGTACGACAAGGATTAAAATGTGAAGGTAAGTCTGTGATTTTTAGTGTATTTTTGTGTGTGTATATCTCTATAAGATGAAGAAATTGTATCTTGTTTGATAGGTTAGCACATGATAAATGTAGTATTTCACAGAGTTGGGAGGGGTTGTGCATCAGGAAACCTGAGTTCTGATCCTGGCTTTAACGCAAACTCTGTGTGACATTGGGCAAATGACTTAAGAAGTGTTCTTGTTTCCCACTTTGAAAAAAAATAGCTAGCTTACAAGTGTGTGTTCTTTGCACAAGGAGCACATACTTTGGAGAGACTCCCGGAGGGGAATCCCTTTCCTTATGGCGTTCATCCAGCTGGCTGCGGAGCACTCTGCAGCCTGCTGTCAGGTACTGACGCTGCCTGCTCACTGGCTTCTCCTTGGCTCTTGTGCTCCCAAGCGAGGGAGTGATGAAAGCCGCCTGGCAGGGGGAGATCAGCTGCTTTGGAGTCTTAGACTTTATTTCTAGAGCTGGGCTTACTAGAGACCAGTATTATAGCAAGTAGTGCAAAAAAAGCTGTTTCTGTGAGTCGCATCAAGAACACGGTAAGAAAATAATTTAACAGAACAATCTATTTCTGCCTTTATCATTTTTCTGGATCATCTTTTTAACTACTTTATCAAAATATTAGTACTATTTTTGTTACTTAGAATGTTGGGAGGTTTTTTTTGTCTAAAAAAACTTCTCTTTCAGGTTGTGGGTTAAACTACCATAAGCGATGTGCCTTCAAGATTCCAAATAACTGCAGTGGAGTGAGAAAGAGGCGTCTGTCTAATGTGTCTTTACCGGGAGCAGGGCTTTCAGTTCCAAGACCAGCACAGGCTGAATACACATCTTCTGCCTCTGAAGAAGTATGTAATGTGAAAGCGGAAACAATTTCTGCTTTTAAATCCTTTAACCTCTGGGGAACTAGCTAGTGTTGCAAGTGGCTCATAATGAGTACGAGGGAGTTGAGCTTAACCATTATGATTGGTTTTAGTTCATTTTTAAATCTGGTGAATTTTAGACTGTGACACTGATAACTATTATTACTGCGAGAAATGAAATGAGAAGTAAATTATAACTTTTATGTATAATTTTGTTATTAGCCTGTCACTCATGGTTATATGAACTCTGAGAACTTTGGTTTCAGGAATGGTAAAACACCTTGCCTTCTTTGTAATACAGATTCATTCTGTAATTATGGTATCAGTATAGAATAGTTACTTGGCTAAAGCAGTACAAATCATAAGCTTTTATGCTGGAAGAGGAGAGAGTGTTCCTGATATGCTGTTAGGCTTTTCACAGAGTTAATCTAAAAAAACCCGAGCCCTATCAGGGAAGGTGCAGGGGATGAAGGGCTCACAGTAAAAACCGTTATCCATAGTAGTTTTTTGTTATAATGGTTATGATGATTGCTGAGAGGTTATTGATTATACTGCAAATATACTGTGATCTTAAGACAGGACAGGCAGTGATTAGATCCATTTGTTCCATTGCTGCTTTCAGTGTGGGATAAAAGCAGTGCTTTTGACACTTAGTCTTTCCTACTTATCTAATTCTATTACTTTACAGTATAACCATTCTTACGTTCTTACCATAGTTTAAAATATAAATTGTATAGATTTTTCTAGTTCAAGAACATAATTTTTTTAGCTAGAGGCTACAAAGCCTACTCTTGAGTCATGACAAAATATTTATTCTGATGTTTACAACTATTGGTAAGATTTATTCAGTGAATTCATAGAATTGTAAGCGTTTCTCCTCTCAAGGAATTCAACTTTATGATTTCTACATGCATGTTTAGTACCAGTTTGACACCTCTTCTTTGCTATCCAATTTCAAATACTTGGCTTAGATGATCAGTAATATATTACCATATTTGCCGTTCATCTTTCAGCAGTCTTAAAATGCTCTAGGTCAGATGTACAGGGCCAGGTTCCTTTACATTTACTGTGGATGTAGGTAATTGTAAATTTATATGCTGAATGTTCAGTATGATACTTCATGGATTTTGTGTTTCACTTGACGATGTAAGCTATCCAGGCATGCCGTACTTTGCTTTTTAAAACTGAAAGCTTGAGGTAGTGATTGGATTTTGGTTTGCCTACCTCCAGTGTTTTCCATTTTATTCCCTACGTGGGGGTCTGTATGTGTTGTCTGTGAACCTTGCCAGGTTGCTTTAAAAAAAAAATCATGAAAGTGAATTTTTAGCATTTTAGCTTCTGTGGAAATAAAGATTCATACATACTTTCCTGCTCTCTGCAAGGATTTTCCATCTGGTGTTTTCTTGGTTTAGTTTTACGATATCAAAATGTCCTCTTAAAGCTTCTTGGCCAGGTTGCTTTCTTATCCGGTCACCTTCTGAGCCAAAACCTCCCTCACAGTTCCACTGAAATTTTTTTTTTTTTTTTGTCCTTCCCTAAAGTTGAACTGTTTTGGTGCAAATCGTGTATACCTTCTTTATTCCAGCGCTGCTGCCCAGAACCTAGTAAGAGGATTCCCTCCTGGAGTGGCCGTCCCATCTGGATGGAGAAGATGGTGCTTTGCAGAGTGAAGGTTCCGCACACCTTTGCTGTTCACTCTTACACTCGTCCCACCATATGCCAGTATTGCAAACGGCTGCTCAAGGGCCTTTTTCGCCAAGGAATGCAGTGTAAAGGTAACCATTTAATTTTCTGCTGCAGTGATAAATTTCAGTAAAGGTCTTGTATTTAAAACTGATTTCAACTTATGTTTTGATTGCCAGAAGGTTGTATACTGCGAAATGGGGCAGTATAATTTTTGAAAAACTGCATATTTTTGAGAGGATTACAGCAGCCCTCATCTTCATTTTAGTAGACTGCATTGTACATTTTTCTGAAAAATAAGATTTAATCACATGTAGATTGGGAACACCTTGGTTCTAGAAGGATAATTCTAAATTAATAAAAACAGGAAATACTTCCCTTTGTTCAATGTCTGTCTTCTAGACTCATCACTAAAGAATTTTTAAGTTTTCACTGTTATTCCAGTACGGAATACTGGTTATTATCTTTTGGAAAAATTTTATACAGGTAGGTGCCTTTCCTGAACTAGCTTAGGCTTCATCAGCGACATGGTTTTTATTTAGCATATGTTAAGATGCATGACTTCAGTTCTCAGACTCTTTTATGCAATTCCCAGGGCATAACTATGACATTGTGATCTTCTTCTGGCTCTTTATTGCTGAAATAGTGCAGATCTGTCAGCTTTGTTGCAGGAAAGAAAACTGTAGTGATGAATCCTAAACATTAATATGGAAAGGATTTTCCATTGCTCTCATGTGAGTTTGTCAAACGTGAGTACCAGAGGCTGCTTAATAGATTTCTCAATTTCCTTTAGTAGAAGACTGCAAAAATTGTAAGCTTATAGCTGTGTTATTTCTTTTGACTAAAAATACTGCTGTCTTATGTAAGTGAGGAAGTAGTTTTATCTTTCATTTCTTTTTTTATTAATTTGCAGTCTTTGTAGTCTGTTTGAAGTCTGCATCCTGAACTGTTTTTGATTTTTTTTTTTTTCCCAGTCAGTGTGTCTCTTGGATACATGTAAGACATAAATAATGAAGCCTGAAAAAGGTGCTTTGCAGTTTTAACATATAGATGCTACTGACCATATACAGTTGTGACTGTATATCCAGCTGAACAAATGGGGCTACCACATCAGTTTCAGGAAAATGAATGACACTGGATAAAAATAGCATTTATCTATGGAAAACAAGCCTAGACAAATGTTATGTATACGTGCAGGACAGAAATAAGTATATTAATAGGCCTCCATTTATGCAGTATGATCTTATACATATTTTTAATATATCAGGAATTGATATCAAACAATCAAAATATTTTCATATGGCTTTCTCCCACAGATTCTTAAGGTTTCCCACCGACTTCCTTGTGCACATTCCCAAAGCTCAGGGTCTTTCAGCAGTCCCACGTTCCTGAGTACCTGTAAGAGCCCTGGATTTCTTGAATTCATCCAGGCTTCTACTTGGACTCTGAGGATGATCTTTGGGATGCTAAGGCTATATTTGTGGTAACAAACTACATGTGCCCAGGAACATTCCTGGACACTGAGGTCAGCTGGGACGAAATCACCAGTGCTCATGAACAAGTTTTCTTAGCATCCCAGCCTGGGTGGCTATATGCGGACTGCCTGTTGGGAACAATTTCGTGGGATGCTCTGATTTATGAACTAGACCTGGGAACTGTTTGGAATTGTGCTAGTGCTGTGGGCCAAAAGCATGCTAGGGCATGCTCTAACTGTTTACTAGACTAGAAGGTTGCATTGCAGTATGCAAGAATGTTTCTGGATGTAGTTTAATTTATTAGGATTGGCTTGCTCTTGGTCTTTCTAGTTCCCTGGTAGGATTTGAAATGTCTCTGTTTTTTCCACCCCCTTTCAAACCAGTGAAGTAACCATATTCTGTAATATGGACTGAAAACAGTGCTGTAGAAGGGACAATCCATTGGTCTCCTAGGATGCTTCCTTGTAGGCACTCAGAAGCTGAACAGTATTGTATTGTGCTTCAGGGTTTGGCTTCTCTGCTACTAAAAATGGGGAGATAATGATTTTTCTCTTGGCTGGGCGTAAAAGGAAAGCACAGTGAGCTTTCTTTGGAGAGCAGAAAGGGGCTAAATTATCAGTTTGAAAACAGTTGTGGGTGCAGTAGGGAGTTTTGAAATTCATCATGTTGATACAGAGTTGAAAATTACAGCGATGGTGCTAATAAAGGAAATTCCTGTTAATACCACCAGTGTTGTATGCTGGACTTTGTTCAGTAGGCTGCATCCGATACCTCAGATGCAGAAATGGCAGACATCCAGGTTAGATTCCATCTCCACGTCAGGTCAGATCTGGACATAACATTGTTCTGTCTGCCCTGTGTCAGCAGTCAGCCAAAATGCTTCAGTGTTCAGCCAAATCTGTAATCTGAATGATAGGGGAACTGGACTTTGGGATTCACTGCAGAGCGTATTTGGTCTGTGATATAGGTGTGTGATCCTACAGGCTCTGATGGCTGCAAGTCTTAGGCAGCAGGTGGGGCAAAATGATAGAGAGGAGACATTTAAATCATATAGCAATGGAAAAAAGGGTGTGGAACAGATGAGAGGATGGGGAAAATGACATCATAGTGGAAAAAATAACTACAGAGAAAGCTAGAGAAGTAGAAAACTGTTTTGTAGTGGAAGAGGAAGTGCTGACACTGACATAATAAATAGTGGTGGGGAAGATCAACATATGACATCAGGACAAGATTGTTAATTTCTTTCTGGAGGTGGCCTCATTGATGGTGTCTTCAGCTACATGCAAACATATGATTCTGAACTGAAGCTTGTGATGGAAGTAGTGAGTGGTAGAACATTAGTGTCTGAGTAGGAGTAAGATTCTGGTATCATGGGCTTATGTATCTTCTGTTTTAGATTGCAGATTCAACTGTCACAAACGCTGTGCGCCTAAAGTACCCAGAGACTGTCTTGGAGAGGTGGTTTTCAATGGAGGTAAGATGAGAAACGTGCTTTCAAATACTGACAGATCTTTGGAGGCTTAACAAGATGCATTAGCTTTTGATTCCCTCATCTTTGAATATTTTACGTCTTTCTGTTTCATCTTCCCAGTTTTTTCACCTGAGATCACTGACAATTACAAAGATTCACTATAAAACTTATACTCTAGTGACTTCAATTTTACTTAATCAGTCTTGGCAAGTACAGTATGCTTTGCTTGAGACTGCTCAAGGAAAATAAAAAATCAAGAAGCCTTCTCAATGTACAAAAACTAAACATCTGTTGTGATCAGTCTGCTCATTGTTCACCATGAAATATGTATTTTAAAATTTTACTAACTGAAGAAAAGTACTATTTTTTGTGCCTTTCTCATATCCATGATTTTTAGCAGCCAGAGCTAGCCCAGCAGTTTGTGAGGTAAAAGAGAAAGGAAAAAACCAAGCCAAACGAAAACAAAAAACCCACTCTAATTTTTTGAAACCTCAGTTAAGTAGGACTATTTTCTGAATAGACCTTACAGAGTTGAAAGGGGAAGGTGAGGAACAGTATGTGGCAGAAAGTTTAGAGTCTTACTCTTAGAAGTTTTAGGCCAGTGTTAAGCTGATGAAATATCGGATGGATGAGCAGACAGTGAGGTGGATTGAAAGCTGGTTGAATGAATGGGCCTAGAGCGTGGTGATCAGTGGCGTGAAGTGTAGTTGGAGGCTAGTAACTAGTGGTGTACCCTAGGGGTCAATACTGGGTCCAGTTCAACATCTTCATTAATGATTTGGATGATGGGGCAGAGTGTACCCTCAGCAAGTTTACCGGTGACTGGGAGGAATGGCTGATACGCCAGGGGGTTGTGCTGCCATCCAGAGGGACCTCGACAGGCTGGAGAAATGGGCTTATGGGGATTGTTGGACCAGATGACCTCCAGAGGTCCCCTCCAACTTCAACCATTCTGTGATTGTGTTGCCCAAAATCTTGATCCTTGGCATGCATATTTTTGAGGGGAATAAAATTGATGACATGCAGCAGATCACACCAAACTGTACAACCTGATTCAGAGGCCTGGGCAGCAGCCCTGTTAGCCAGTGGGTCTACTGCCATTGCACAATGTATCCCATCTGTTCATGCCTGCCTTCTACAGCTGCAGGGCTCTTGCCTGGGTCTTGAGATTGGTGGCCATGAACAATAATGTGCAACATGTTGCTGCAGCCTGCTTTCACCACCCTTGTGATGCTAAGGTGCTAGAGCACATAGTTTGGGAACTGCAGCTTCAGACAATTCTTCCGTGGACATAGAGTCGTTTATTTTTTTGTTCTTTCTCCCACCCTTAAATTGAACCCTTCTCAGACCAAAAAAAGAAAAAAAGGCTACCGATGAAGGTATTTGTATGTCTTAATTCTTAGTTTTCCAGAGGGCAAGTTGTACAGCTTTTGGAAACTTCAAAGTTCTGCCAATAGGGAATCAGATGTGAATAAGATCTGTTTTGCTTTTCTCTTTTTCTGCAATACCACAGCCCCCTTTTTCTCTCTTACTTTTGCTGTTATGGGCTACAAGGGCAGTGAGAACAGAGTTGGGTTTCTGTTGACGGAGAATTTAATCTGCACAGGAATAATTGTCTGGGTCATCTCTAGCTATCAGAAGGTTACTTTGTACTTATTACTTGTGGAACAGAATTACTTAATGAGATTTAGGTTTAGACCTTAAGCTCTTTACTCTGTGTCTTTCAATATGATTCTTGTTTTGGTTGGGTCTCTCTTGCCTTGGCATTTAGCAAAAACAAATTGATAATGTTCATCAGCACACTCTGCATCATTTGGCAACAACTTGAGAATTTTATATATTCTCATTGTACTTTTATGTTTACTTGCATAAATGTGAACTGAATAAGAAATTTTGTGGAGTTTTTTGGGGTTTTTTTGGTGTTTTTTTTAACTGTGTATTTGAAATAATATCTGAATCCTGTGTTTCCAGAACCTGCTAGCCCAGGCCAGGACTTGGACATGCCAATGGAAGTTGATAGCAGTGAAATGAACAGTGATGGTAGTCGGGGTCTAGATGATGCTGAAGAGCCCTCTCCTCCAGAGGACAAAATCTTCTTTATGGATCCATCTGACCTAGATGCAGACAAAGACGAGGAAGCTGTCAAAACCATCAGGTAAGTCATAAGGTGGATTTCTTTGCTCTGGATGTACTTTCCTCAAAATTTTGAAGTAACACATTGAGTAAAACCATTCTGATTAGCCCAGTTTTACTGCTTGAAGTGTAATGTTTTCATTTGTGTTTTTTTTAACTTGAAACTGCTTTGCAAAGTTATCCTGTCCCAAGCAAATCTGAAACGTAAATAAGTTAATATAGTCTCTTCTAATTGGAAGAAGTGCTGTGCTATGACTGTTATCGAAGAAATAAAGCCAGATTATCAAAACATGATAAAATTTATGGCTTAACTTAACATGGCTAAGACATGACTAAGATCTTTGTGACTTTAGCCTAATTTGGTTACTGTTATACATGTGTTGATTTAAAAGGAATTACTCAAGATATTTTAATGTTCACATCGTGCTTTATATGCATTTTAGGCAGAAGTTTGATTTATATAACTTGAATGTGATTTTTCTGAAGTCTTCTGTCCGATAACTGTTACATAGTTCCTTTAATCAAGTTTTTGGACTTTTTACTTTCTCGATTATGCTGAATAGTGTCATCCTGATTTTCTTAAATCATTCTTAATAATGTAAGAGCAGTTGCATTAAGTCAAACCAAAGGTCATTTTAGCGCAGTGCTTTATAGCAAATATGTGAGGAAGAGCATATAGTGATACCTCCTCAACTTTCAGTGATTTATAGCTCAAGGACTTCCTGAGTTGGAAGTAGCATTTTTTTTGTGTTCCACCTCTAGGTAGGATTTTTCCATTTATTTCTAATTGCTTTTGAAGCAATTAAAGCTTTTTTTGGCATGTACAGCATCCTGTGGCAGCCAATTCCACAGTGTAACTGTGTGCTGTGTTAAAGCATCCTTACATTTTTGGTTTTGAATCTGCAATGTGATTTCATGTGTTTGAAGAAATATGAATATGAAGAAATAGCATAGTCAACTTACACAGAAAAGAGAAAATAATAGCAATGCTGATGTTAATTATATTTTTATGCTGGATTAATTAGTTTCAGCTAATTGTTTTGAGAGAGGATGATTTCTGTAGGTGTCCTCATTCCAATGTGTTTCTTCTCTGTTCTATAGAGTAATTTAAGTACTGTGATACTTGCACTAGGAGAGCTAGGGGCAGCTCAGATGCCTTATCGATTTCATCTATCAATGAAATAATTTGTATGGGAAGAAAAGGTGCCTGTTCCTAAAAATCACAAGCTAAATCTGTAGTACCAGTATAATTGCAGTACTGTTGTATTTTAACTTGTTACATTTTTATTAACTGTTCTATCTTTTTTTAGTCCTTCAACAAGCAATAACATTCCTCTCATGAGAGTTGTACAGTCGATCAAGCACACAAAGAGGAAGAGCAGTACAATGGTGAAGGAAGGATGGATGGTCCACTATACTAGTAGAGACAATCTGGTCAGTAACTTTAGTTTCTTTCTACATTAAATTAAACTATTTCTCTAAACCAGTGTGTTTTATTTCTCTTATTTAGATATTCTGATTTACAGTATCATTTGAAAGAACTAAACCATTCATGTTCATTATAAAGAAATCTGGTGCAAAGGAGAAACTGTACTTTATTCAAAATTCTTCATGTGGTGATTCAACAGTACTTTTCCTTCTCCCTTTTAAGAAGGAGAAGCATCTCTAAATTGTCTCAAATGAATTGTGTGTTTAAGATTTCAGCTTTCCTGAGATAATAATTTGGAATAATTTGCTTATGTCATCTTTCTGTTTAGCAGTTGAACTAAATATTTGTATCAGTGTTTGTATTCAACTACATGAAAAGGTGGAAATCATTATAAAATGATGAGTACTGAAATGGTTGACACTATTATTCTAATGATCTAGGTGTTTGTAAATATTTATGTGTAGATATGGGAGCCCTTCATTCCTCTAGCAGTTAACTCTATCTAAAAGTAAGCATTATTGAACACCATCACCCCCCAAACTCATGATTCCTCTTGATGTCAGTGGAATAAAGAGTTGTTCCTTGACTATATGTCCTTGGCTGTGCAAGCATCCTCCAAAAAGACTACGTTGTTTGTTTCCAGTGCTACCAATAGTGATCTCTTAAGTGAACCTTCTTAGGCAAGCTCCTTGGTTTTGTGTATTGAAGAGGAAGATAAGGAAGAATAACTGTGATCCTTAGAGTTGTCTGATGGGAAGGAGTGAATCCTCTTCACTTTTTGATAGATGAATGAAAAGGATGAAGTCAAGAAGTTCCCAGATCTTATGAAGCCCAGGTTGTCATCTTGAGACTGTTTGTGAAAGGCAGCACAAATGCTTTTGCATTCTTTGTCTCTACACAGGAGTCTGATTGAAGGGGACTTCAGGAATTTAGAGAAGCAAAGTTATTTAATTTCTGTTGAAATCAAGCTGAGGGGTGATACTAGTCAGCTCAGGTTACTGTAATATTTTTACTTTTTGTAATTGTCAACTGTAAGTGGTCTGTCAGAAACTGCCTTACAAAACATTTCTTTAAAGTACAGTTTTCTAATATCTAGATGTATTTATCACAAACCAAAATAAGTATCCAGCATATTTCAAATGAGATTCCAGCCAAGGCTACTTAACAGACACAATTATCATCAGCTGGCTATGGAAAAACTAGGCCAGGTAGTAGATGAAGATGAATAGTTCTAGCATTGTTCAGGGCAGACCTGGTATTTGGCTCCGATTTAATCTTTCAGTACAGCCAGTACATTTTTCCATGGACTTTTTTGGACCCTGTTGTGGTTTAACCCCAGCTGGCAAATAAGCACCACACAGCTGCTCGCTCACTCCCCCCACCCCAGTGGGATGGGGGAGAGAATTGGAAGGGTGAAAGTCAGAAAACTCGTGGGTTGAGATAAGAACAGTTTAATAATTGAAGTAAAATGAAATAGAATAGTAGTAATAATAACAATAATATAATAATACAATAATAATATACAAAGCAAGTGATACACGATACAATTGCTCACCACCCGCCAACTGATGCCCAGCCTGGCCGGGGGGCAGCGATTGCTGCCTGGGGACAATTCCCCCCAGTTTACATACTGGGCATGATGTCATATGGTATGGCATAGCCCTTTGGCCAGTTTGGGTCAGCTGTCCTGGCTGTGCTCCCTCCCAGCTTCTTGTGCACTGGGCAAAGCATGGGAAGCTGAAAAGTCCTTGACTGGTATAAGCACTACTTAGCAACAACTAAAACGTCAGTGTGTTATCAACAGTATTCTCATACTAAATCCGAAACACAGCACTATACCAGCTACTAGGAAGAAAAATCAACTCTATCCCAGCTGAAACCAGGACAGACCCCCTCATAGAAGAGTGGTCAGATTGTACACCTTAGTTTGATTTTTTTTTTTTTTTTTTGTCTGTCAGTCTGACTGCTACCTAGATGACATCTACCTGAAAAAGCCATTCAAGTGAAGTGGAATATTCTGCCCCAAAGCAAGATACCTTCAGCCAAGCAAGATCTCATAGGGTTTTCTAATGGGAGGAGACCATCAGCTATTTCCTTTGGCCACTCTGCTCTCAGCAATGTCAGACGATTTCCTATTCCTGAAACAACTTGGGCTTTCTATCAGTTCCAAAGGGTTCATTTTAACAGCAATATCTGTATACTTCTTGCTGACCCTGGATAACAAGCTATTTCACCCTTTATAATGAGAAGTTTTTCTATCATATTCTGTATTCTTTTTCCTCACTCTGAGACCATCAGTTCTCAGAATATGGTGTGGGCAGATTTTGAATCCCTGAGTCAGTTACCAGCCTGAGCATATGTGTCCAAAGGACAAAGGACAGGTTCACCCCTATGCTTTCACGCAGTTTCCATTCAGTGCTGACTGGGAATTCCATTTAGTTAAATCCATTCGTGTCTTAGCTTTCTTTGTCTAACTCCTACAGGGAGTCTTAGCTTCCCTATGATTGAAGTGATTTAAGCTCTGCTGTATTTTGTTTCAAACTAGTGTCGTCCTAGGCCAGAGTTAAGGGTCTTGGATTTTTGTCACAGAAAAATGAAAATGGGTTTCTAACTATATGAGCATGGTGCAAGCAAAGTGAGTTAGATTCATACAGCCATATTAGCTTTCTAAAAGCTTCTTTGTTTTGAGAAATGTTCCTCTGCTTAAAATTACAAGACAGTTATGTGCAAGAGCTTATTCATATTACTTTTTGGTGGAGATGGTATTTTTCATTGCTGGAAACTTCCAGGAAATGGCTATTTAGTCTTATCTTGATTTTTATTTTCTTTTTTTTCCCAAGATATTTTGTCCACTTGAATCTCATAATCTGTCTGTCTTGCCACTGTGTGCTTTTGACCTTCTAGAATTCTGTGTTGACAAAAGAATTAAGGACTTGTTAGGCTTGCTCAATACTTGAACCCTTGCAATGTTGGTGTGCGGGCACAGAGGGAGAAAGCATGACTCCCACAATTGGTACTAAATTGAAATAATTCAGGTTTTGTGAGCACATGCATCTGGAGTGAAACCTGTGTAGGTAAGTGGTTTTCCTGTACAAGATAACTGCTGTTGTCACTGCTGTTACTGTAAGGTAGGTGATATTTTGTTCTGGTTTGTGGAAATAATTTTATGAGCCTCTTGAATTTAAAAAAATATTTATTCCCAAGGTGTATATTTTCATGTATCTACTCTAAGATGCAGCTGTAGATTACCGTTAGTTGATTTTCTTAGTCATTTAAAGCATTTCTCATTTAAATAATCAGATAACAAAAGCCATACCAGTGATGTATTCCTTACGTTATTGTACTGTGCATTTTGTAGAGAAAAAGACATTATTGGAGACTGGACAGCAAATGCCTCACCCTATTTCAAAATGAATCTGGAACAAAATATTACAAGGTAATTAATGATGAGTAATAATTACGTTGCATTTGATTTACTCAGTGCTTTATAGACCCGAAATCTATTTGTGAGCAGTAAAAGCATTATCTCCATTTCCCCATCTTTTTTAGTCAAAACTGTGACAGGTTAGTTGTTGGCCAAAGCTTATAAGTGAGAAGGACCAAGACTAACTCTAAGAAGTTGCTTGCAGCTCCTGTTCTAATCCTCTTGAGTATGTCTCCTTACATTTTAAATGTACTGTTCTCCTGAATTGCCTAGCGTACTAAGCTTTCTTCACAATTACCAGAGAATCTGTTTGGCTGCCAGTCTAATGAAGGCTAGGATTTTTGTGTTATAAAAGTAGTGACTGAAAGTTTGCATGCTTATGTATTTTATTTTGAGGTTCCTGAAATTAAATTATTTCCAACTGTACAACTGAAAGTTGGAACCAAGATTTAGAGGAAAATTTACTCTGCAGCCTGGTGTTACATAAATGAAACTTAGTAATACTAAGTTTAGTATATTGTTAATAAAGTAATGTGTTCAATGGTGGAATATTCAGAAAATGTGTTCGAATGTATAAACAGGATTTTTCCCTTTCTTGTCTTACACCTTTAGGTGGGGGTCCAAATCTTGCAGCTTCTTCCTTTATTACATCTCTAAGATCAAGCCTTTTCTCTGTACACCCAGCTAAACTTGCCCAGATCCTTTTCATCCCTATCTTGACCAATGCAGTCTCTTCTCAGACCTTCCCGATACTTGTATTGCCCTGTGCATTCAAAACACAGCTGGTAAAATATATTCCTTGCTTGTTGCTCCGTTATGTCACTGCTTTTAGTCCTTTAGCTTGCCCCTTTGCCCCCCTGTTTTTAACTGCTTAAATCTCAGGTTATTTGTCTTCGCTGTTAGAATCATTCACAGTTTACATTTATTTGCTCTTCATCTTAATCAGCTACTGTCTCTTATCCCCCTAATGCCAGCCTGGTGTTCACCTGCTTGTTCACTACCCTTGCAAGTGACGTGCACCTGTGTACCTTCCCATGTATGTGGAATGTCCTCCTCCAGCTAGTGTGAACTTGCAGCCATTTCTTCCTTCAATTCTGTTCTCTAGTACTGCTTGTACCATGATCTTAAACTGGCAAGGTAGAGGAGTCAGTAGAAATGGTTAATATTTGTATGAAAGAGAATCTTTACCCAAAACTATTCAGATAGGTGAAGCAGTGTTTATTGACTAGCTTCTATAACGACATCCTCTTCTTATCCTCCTCTTGTCCTGTTTCACTTTTTTCCCCTGTCATGCTCTTCTCTAGTATAAACTACAGGGGGAAAATGGTCATTCTGTAGTTGTGCATCATTTGTGCATCGTGTCTCATGCTGAATATAAATGCAGTTTGTCTGAGTAGAGAATAGTAGTTGTATAGAGAGAACCGTGGCGGGGCTGGAAGTCTGTCTAGGCCTGTACAGAGGAATTCAGAAAACTGTGGGTGGGCAATGGTCATGCACAGTTTGACATTAGTTATGAAGCTTGATATTTTGGTTTTGGTATTGTGATATATTTGCTTTGATTTCTTTACAAACACTTTAAGTTTTGAATATCAGTATATGAAAATATTATGTGCGTTTTCATTTTTTAATCTTTAATATTTTTCTTCAGGAGATTCCACTTTCAGAAATTCTCCAGGTGACTCAGCCTCGAGATTTTTCAAACGTGGTGCAGGGCAGCAACCCATACTGTTTTGAGATCATCACTGACACGATGGTGTACTTTGTTGGCGAAAACAATGGCAGCAGTCATCACAGTCCTGTTCTTGCTGCCACCGGAGTTGGACTTGACGTAGCTCAGGGCTGGGAGAAAGCCATTCGTCAGGCTTTGATGCCAGTCACTCCTCAAGCTAGCGTTTGCACTGCTGCAGGACAAGGAAAAGATCACAGTAAGCAGGCAGACAAGGCACTATTATTCATATTCTGAAGCTGTTAATGGTAGAGATTCCTTTCAGAAAAGTGCATATTTAGAGTGAAGTATTGTCTGTCTAGTCTCTGCTGAATTGGGTCCATAATTTTGCACAAGTCTCTAAAAAGTGACACTCAGGTTTGTGGAGGGTGGGCAAATCCTTTCATCTGTTGTGGCAGGAAGTAGTAGTTAAGAATCAGAAATACAATATGAATGTATATTGCAGAGCTTTATTGTAGGAGCATTAAGAACTCCTGCATAGTTGCTGGATGTAAAAAGGGACCATAGTTTAGATCTTTCTAATATACTTAAAAAAAAAAAGGAATCAGATTATATACATATGCTCTGAAAGAACTAAATTTGGATGCTTTTTGATGTTATCCCTTATATTTTTTTTTTTTAAATTTGTGAGATATCAGTAGCTAAGGAGAAGAAAAGGAGTTAGTGATGCAGTGTAAATACTGCCAGTGATGGAAAGAACTTTTGCTGAGCTGTGGGTAGTAGTAAAAAGTGCCCTATTCTTTTTATGCACCTGTCCTCCCTTTCTTTCTCTGGCATAAGATCACGTTCATTACTAAGGCTCCATTAAACCGTGTAGTGTGTTCTTTCTCTTCTTGTTTCTTGCAATGACATTCATTCAGATTCTGTACTGAGATTTTTGCTTTCATTCTTTAGTTTCCTCTTATCTTCCAGCTACTCCTTAATCTTCTTTTAGCAAAATTTTCTTTTGCAGGAGATTGAGATTAGTTTCTCTGTCTGATATCTGGCTACTCTGCATCAGCAACAGTTAAGAACAAGTAAATACTTGTCTGAGATAAAAGCACTTTCTGAAAATGCAACCATGGTCTGAAATGGTAAACTATGAAATGCCAGTACTGGTATCTGTATTTAATTACAGTGAAGAAACATACCAGTAAGATGGTACCTCATAACTGGCCTTATACATATGTAAAATGCCACTTTCAGTGTGAAATTCTTAGTTCCATGCATATATACACCAAAGCTCTCTTTGTTTTCTAGAACCTAAGGCTTACTGTTGCTGAGACACTTGCAAAGACAGTTGTTTTTTTCCAAAATCAATATTTTTTCAGATATAAATAATAACGTTTTTATATTAGAACTTGACAGTGGTAGGGGATAGAGCTGCAGGGGTAGATACAGAGGAAGTATTTTAGCATGTTTAGGATTGTAGGAGTATCAGAAACTACCATGAGTTGTGGAATGGCGTTCACATATTCTTAGGCAACTCAGGTTGGTTTTTAAACTCTAAAAAGCCTACAAAATGTCTGTTCATCCCTCTCCTTCCTACACACTGTGAGCCATGAAATGTAGCCTTTAAGAAAATTAGACTTTTAGTTTAAAAAACAAACAAACAAAAAAAACAACAAAAGCTTCAAATATGTTCCTTTAAATGAAAAGACCGAAAGAGGAGGGAGACATTGCTAGTGCTTGAAATACTTGCAGCAGCAGGGAATTTGTAGTGTCAAAATGTCTGCAAGACACTAGCTAGTCAGTTTATACCACGTTCTAGCCAGAAAGTAGCTAGAAATGAGGATGCTCTTCCAGTCTGTGCCGTGGGAAAGAGGCCTTTCTCACCTTGTACCTTGTGGTTGGGGTGGGATGTTTTTGTGGGATGTTTCTGAGCTGAAATGAGAAAGAGAATATTAGTAAGCTATTACCCAGTATAGACTGCATATTGAATCCTGGCATTACTGACTTCTTCAGAAGTGACAATGTTTCAGCCCTTGTTCTTAGTCATTTCAGACACTAGAAAAATGGGTTTATTTGGAAGGAGCAACTCAATCGCTACCTACCAGATATTTTGTATTCTGTAGCCCTCTGTGGAGAAGGGTTCAGTATGTTCTCTTCACACAGTTTCAAAAACTGTATATTCACTTTCTAGTTACCTCGTTTCAACCTTGCTGCAGTTTGTGTTGACCTTATAACTTTGTTGCCTGCCTTCATTGTTGTTCTTCCTTGTGTTCTGTACTGTTATTCTAATATAGACTTGACTGTAGTCAATAATCAGTAGGCATATGCAAGGCTGTAATTCCAGTTCATATTTCATATGCAGTATCCAGTGTGTCTTTGAGAACTAGTATTTGCTGCTATCTTAAGTCTAAATTCCTTCCTTGAGATAAAGTACAAGTAGCAAAAATCAGATACAGACATTTTATCTGTGCTCTGAAGTCTCAGCACTCTTCTTAGGATGATAAAGGGTCTTTTTCCAAAGTGCTAGTAAATCTATAGTATATCTTCAGTCCACCTTGTAGGTGAATTTGTTCTACTTTTTTTTTTTTTTTTGAAGTTAACAAATGATAGGTGTCCATTTGTCTGAGATGCTTCAGCTGTCTTGGAAGTCAAAGGACAGGGATGTTTTCTGCCTTCCTTGATGTATCTCTTCTTGTCCGTGCATCATAATGTTATTCCTGTAATGAAAACTTTGTGTCAACATCTGCTGCAGGCTGAAAAATTCTGTATCTTCATCTGGTGCTTTTACTTGCAAATTACATTTCCTAGATGTGCTCTTATATTGCAAAGATTAAATATGCTTGTACAGTTTGTCCATGAAACAAACAGTGTTTATATTATGGGTTTTATTGCTTTTTTTAATTATCAGGTCTTCTGTTACTTGCTTTGCCTGATTTGTTTCCTTTTCTTATGCATTAATTCTGTATATCTTGATGCCACAAAAAATTAGTAATCGCATTCATTTGACTGTAAGGGATCTACCTGGTCCTCTTCCCTGTATTTTTCTGTATGACTACCAGAAATTCTTAGTAGTTTAATGAACTGTGATACAATTGCCACATTGCTATTGCTTTTGGGTCTCCAGCTCTCTATTGTGTACACACTCATACTGTTCTACTGGTTTCGTAATCAGCGATATGACAAAAATAGACAAATAATCCCAGCAAAACTTCCAGGGTTGTTTATCTAATCAATCTATGAAATTTGAGTTCCAGGGTATGATGTTTCTGCAGAACATCAATAAAAATTGTTTCACCGTGACTGGGTTAGAAGTCAGTAAAGGTTTTTTTTGTTTTGTTTTTTTTCTGCTTTTTTACTAGAAAAAGCCTGCCCTTTCTATTTACTTACTCAGTTGTATATTCTTTATTGCAGAAGAGTTATCTCTAAGCATCTCTGTTTCAAATTGCCAGGTGCAGGAGAATGTGGTGAGTCATATGTATTGTATAATAATGGTGTTTATTTACCTGGGTATTACAAAGCGATTGGTAGTAACAGTGTCTGGATGAGAAAGCGGCAGCAGGGTATTGTAGCTAAAGAAGTCTGTGTCGTATACAGGAAGAAATCTACTTACCTGGCGCAGCTGTTTGTTTGTGTGAATGTTTATCCCTGCTGACAGCGCAGCTAACTGGATCCTTCTCAGGAAAAGTTTGTTGTGTTTTTCCACTCCATTCAGGGTAGTGATGGCACCCTTTACAGAGTTTGATTAATGTCAAATGTAAATGCAGGTTAGCCAGTACTAATATGCTCGTGAACGTTTTGATTACTCCTGATATTTGTGATTTCTTTTTTTTCATGCATTAGGATATCAGCTCTGTGTACCAAATATTTGCTGATGAAGTGCTGGGTTCTGGTCAGTTTGGTATTGTATATGGAGGTAAATTACATTAGATCCCATTATGCATTTATTAAGGTAGAATGTCTGTCTGCTTGATATAATTAGCCTTTTCATATTTGCTTAGCTGTATGTAGAATGTCTAGGTGAAGTTTATCTTGTTAAAGGTTTTTTTTTGATTACTCCATTGTCTCTCTCTGCAGCTTTATGTATGGTATTTCTTGCAATTAATTCTTTTGCATTTAGAGTTTTGCATTGGCATCAAAATGAGTTTAGAATATGCATTGCATTTTGACCACAGTTAAATACAAAGCAATCTCTAGTCTGAATTTGGCCTTGGTTAATGTTTTTTTTTAAATTGCAAATTCTAACACTGTTGTCTGTATTATACAGTATTAGAAGTCATGTATTTAAGAAGGCTGTCAGTTATACCTACTTTTAATGATATCTGAGAAATGTGGCCAAAAGCAATTAGAAAAATACATATTTTAGTTTATGCTTTGACAGTATTTATGCAAACATATTATTGACTTTTTTTATGCAAACAGTTTTGCTACAAATTTCTGTCAGCCAGTTAAAGTAGAGGGAGAAATTCTTTGTCACGAGGTCCCAGTTTTAGGTTGCAAATGTAGTTTTATCACTTTTAGTTTTTAAAAACTTCTATTGCAACATATAACTTGTTTATAGTTTGTAATCACAAAAAGAAGAAATACTAGAAATGCATCATATGAACTCTATTTCTCTCTCTCTCTCTCTTTTTTTTTTTTTTTTTTTTTTTTTAAAATCCCATTTGTTGTATCTCAAGTGTTGAGAAAACCACAGACATAAATCTGGAAAGAAAGAAAAAGTGATAACTAATGATTTAAAAGTGGTAATCTTTCTGCTTCTGTCATGTTGGCTTTCTAGTCAGGAATTATTGTGGCTAGGATTTTTCTGTGTGCCAATTGTGTATTTAAATACTTTTCTCTGTTACTTCTGAACTGCTTGATGGAAATGCAGTTTGATGGTCTGGTTTTACATCACTCTTGAGAGAGGCCTATTTTTTTCCCTCTGTATTTCTTAAAGCATAGTGTGAATCAAAGTGTGCTGCCTCTCTTATGAATAGAACATGCACAAATGCAGACAGTAGTTTAATGTTTTGATTTTACTTCTATATATAGTCTCCTAAATTGCCTTTTAGATAAATCTCAGCTTGGTATTTTTCATGATTCAATGCTTATAAATGCTTATGAACATAATAAATGCTTATAAGAGGCTTTTATTTTATTAAATCTTTTCACTTAAAGATTCCTTAAAATATATGGGGCATGCATACTCAGTTTCTTAAGGTAAAATCACAAGCTGAAAGAGCAAGAAAAGAGAATATGAAAGAATATTCTTTTGCTGGCTCTGCACACTGCTTAATTGTTGCTGGTGCTTGGGGAGACCAGATCTGGTAACTTCTAATATTGGTTTCTCCCCACATGTGTAGGCTGGCTGAAATAATGGTAACAAAACCATTGCTTACTTTGTTGTGGAGTTTGGTGTTTGTTTGTTTGTTTTTTTTTTGTTGGGGTGGGGCTTTTTTTAATTTTTCATGTCCTCTATTCTGGACAAACATTTACAAATTGTATATCAAGAAGTTATAGCATATTGATATCCAACTCCTGTTTCTTTCAGTGAGAACAGTTTCTCTCTGCTTTTCCTATTTTGTTTAGTTTTGAAGGGTCTGAAAAATGGAGACAGGAAAAAAAAGATTCTTGACAGTTTCTTACTGATGTAAAACTTGCCCTGAAACCTGGTTGGTTGTGTTTCACTTAGGAAAAGGAATTTTCAAGCTGCTTTTCTCTTAATCTTTCTTCATGTTCAATATTTAGCTCTAGTCTAGTTTCTGTAGTTAAGTGTTTTGTTAGTTTGGTGGTTTTGCTTTACATTTTCTTGCAACCTAGCATTTGTCTTCTCGGTTTTGCGTCTAGTTTGTAATTGATGGTATTTCTGCTACATTTCAATATAATTTGATGTCTAGTGGCACCAGAGTCAGTGTCCCTGAATCTAGGGTTTTATTTAAATTATAGCTGGGTGCTGTGATTTCTAATATTTTGCCTAAAAATTACTGATGTGTTACAGACAAAATGTCAAAACTCCCCGGATCTCTCTCTTTCAAGACTTATGGCTTTATGCTGTTGTCTGTGAGAGTCCATTTTACAGTGTATGCTTTCCTTAGGACTGATGTAATCTTTTTAAAATTTATTTTTTGCTCTCCCACTGTTAGTTCTATTTGGTAACCTTGTAAACCCTTTTGGACCTTGAGTAATGTCTCCATTAACTGCTTTACTTCGTCCCGTGGAGATAAGCCTGTTTTTGACCCTTTGTTCACAATGATGTTTAAGGCAGGTGCATTAGCTGCTTGGCACAGCAGCCTTTGGAGCAATTCCGATGCCCTGCCTAAGCCCTGGCCACCAGTACCGGCTGCAGAGCCGCAGGTGAGGCCTTGCTGGGTGGTTAGCAAGGCGAAGCTGGGCTCCCCGGAGCAGGGCTCCCCGGAGCAGTGCCTGTAGAGTCCTCTGTGCCGCTTGCACTGTAGCTGTGTGTGTCGTCCCTTTTCCTAAAATGGCTTCCAAATCCTTCACTGAGCGGGTAATGACTTCTTTTCCTTTGGTGCAGACTTATTGTTCTATATTAGTTTAGTATTAAATGTCTTAGATTATCAAGGCCTTGCAGTGTGTGATCCCATTAACCTTTCTGATGTGAATGTGATGGAAGTCAGTTTAGGGGTTGTGGAGAAGCCGGGTAAGCATTTACAGCTGCTCACTTACCCCTTGAAACATCCTATCTGTGTATTGCAGAATGCTTCTCATTTAGCTGATGCAGGTTGCTGCAAGGAATAGTACTTGGTGCTGTCAGCACATTTTTTTTTTCTTACCGCAACCTTTTAGAGCTTTTTGATCACAACAGACTGCCTCCTGGGTGTTAATATGTTGTTCTTCGTGGCACATAATTACGCCTATATTCCCGTAGGGTATTAGATATAATTTCCTGTGTATGTGGAGCCCATAAAAGTATGAAACCACTGGAGAAGACTTGTAAATCTTTCTTCACATTTGTCTTGCATAGTTTTGTTGGTGGTTTTGGTTTTGTTTTGTTTTGTTTTTTTTTAACAGCAGAGGCAATATTCTGTGGGAGTAGGTATTACTTGCTAATGTGCAAGTCCCTTGCACAAACAAAAACTTCACCTAATACATCTAATGTCAATGTGCATACCTGACAGCAGAGTAGTAACCAGTTTAAATACATCTACAACCCTCCTGTTGAGGCTGATCACTCTTGTTACTCATATACCATTTTCAATTTTAAATATAAATATAGTAATATTGTACATTTGTACAAAATATACTTGTTTCCCTAAAAAGGAATTCCTGCTATTCTGCCTCTCGATGGCTGACATTGACTTTCTGTTTAGGAAAACATAGGAAGACTGGAAGAGATGTGGCTATCAAAGTCATTGACAAGATGAGGTTTCCAACTAAACAGGAAAGTCAGCTTCGTAATGAAGTAGCCATTCTCCAGGTACGAAAGTATTTTTGGATCACATTGGAGTTTGTCTCAAGCCATTAATAAGATTTTTGCAATGTGTGTAAGTGCTCTGAATTGATTTCTAAATCTGTGTATGTGATTTCTGAGTCTTTTTGCAAGAGGGAATCTTAGAAGAGCGGGAATTTCTGAGTATTTGGTAGAATTGGTAACTTGGGAGTGGTATCTACCCCCTATAGGGGATCCACTGAAGACAGGTACTTTGGTTCCATGTTGTCACCTGCAGGTAGCAGGAAACTCTGTATTATTTTTGGCTGTCTTCCACTACTGGCTCCTCAGTCTGAGTGTTATTCTTGCATGTTCTGTACTCAAGCTATTGAGTGTATCAACTGTAAAATTAATCATTATGGATAATTTGTGTTAAAACAAATTGGTCTGAGTACTGATAATGGGTATGTTTCATGGCTTGATGTTTTAGGTTTCAAGCTAGTTTCTTGCCTCAGACATTCTGTTTTTTCATCTCTAACTCTCCACTTAACTGCTTTTTGATTTGAGGTACAATATTTTTGTGTAATTCAGGATATTTCATACTGTTTTATTTTAGTGATGTATCTATACTACTTTTTTTTAGAATTTGCACCACCCTGGGATTGTGAACCTGGAATGTATGTTTGAAACCCCGGAACGCGTCTTCGTTGTGATGGAAAAGCTGCATGGGGATATGCTAGAGATGATTCTTTCCAGCGAGAAAAGTCGACTTCCAGAACGAATAACTAAGTTCATGGTCACTCAGGTTGGCATTTGGTCTCTCTTCTTTGAGAGGAAAGGCTAGATTTGTCTTTTGTAATTGTGTGAGAATGGAGTTTGGAGAAGGGATTTTCTGTATTGTTATTTAAAAGACACAGCACAGAGGGGTGCACATCTAATAAAAGTTGAATAAACATGGAAATAATTTTGAATGTTAATTATGTTAATTTTTTTGCCCTTCTTTCCCGAGACATAACATTATGGCCATCCAAAGATGCATGTCAAAACAGTAAGCATTCAAAAGACAGAGAGGGAGGAGGGGGGGGGACGGGAAATAAAAAAAGGAAAATCAAACTTATCAGTTCCAAGTCTTGACAAGCTGGGAAAAAAATAGTACTTGCACAGTATATACAGGTTAATTCTTGAAGGCTGTGTTGATACAAATTACTGTATTGCTTAGTGTGTGTGGCTTTTGACACTTTTGATCCACTTGAATACTTCTGAAAATGTTCTTTCCTTTCTCTAGATACTTGTTGCTTTGAGGAATTTACACTTCAAGAATATTGTGCACTGTGATTTAAAACCAGAAAATGTACTACTAGCATCAGCAGAGCCATTCCCTCAAGTGAGTGGAGATTAAAAAATACTTCTTTCATCACTTTCATTGTTCTTTTTTTAAAGAAATATAGGCATTGCAGCTTAAAAGGTGACCTCTTGTGGGATTGTTCAATTGACTTAGTCTAGAATTAGTTGAACTACGTGTATTATAGTTGTCTTTTTTTTCCCCTTCCAACTCTTAGCCTAGCTTTATGTTCAATGGTGTGTTTCAGTTTCTTTCCCCTCAGACATGGATCATGTCTCACAACAATGCTGTGCACCAGCATTCTTTATTCCAAGGAGCCTGAGAAGTACAACTACTGCCAGCACTTAGCAAAAGGCTGTGCAGACTGCATCTATTTTTATGCTTGTGAAGAGTGCGTGGAAATTGGTATTCTGGGTTAGTGAGAATAGTCCAGTGGAAATGGCACAAGACCAGAAGCTTCAATACCAGTCCTCGTTACTGTTCCAGTGCTGTTTGGGAAACAATTTCTTCCCTGTGGTACATCTCCTTCTCCTCCTTGCTTTTGTCTGTCTTGCTTATAAACTGTTGTGAAAAGGGACTGGCTCATTTGTCACTGGTCTTGCTCAGGGATCTTAATCATCAGTATGTGTGATATTACATTGTAATATAAACTAAACAGCTAATTTCTGTAAGAGAAACGCTGTTCAGTGATACTAGTATTTGTGTACTGTCAACACTTACCCCAGTCAGCTATTACCTTAGATACCTTGGATAGTATGGATTTTGTGGAGGATATACAGAAATTCAAATCTGCTAGGCACCATCAGGGAATTGCTTCCAGTCCTGTGCCATTAATGCAAAGTGGTGTGGACTTTTGGAGAGTCACTTGGTCACTTGTATGCCTTTAGTGCACTGCTCTTTCTTATAACCTGAGGAGTGCTTACTACCTTGGGGTTAGTGTTGGACTTGATCTGGATCTTTTTTTCTGTAAAAGTGTCTGCTGTGTTCAAGTTAAGAAACCATCCCAGAACCATGAAGATCTGAGCATCAGTGCAGGCACCAGCTGTTGATGCTTTTTACCTGGACGGTTATTGGACTGTTCTGCCCAGAGCTGGCTGGGTCTGAGTTCTAGCTAAAACTCATCGTTTGATTTATCGTAGAATCATAGAATCCTTAAGGAAAGGACCTCTGAAACCATCGAGTCCAACTGTTAACCCAACTGCTGGGTCCACCTCTAAACCATGTCCCTAAATTTTCTGTGTAGCTGAAACCTTCAGCTTCAGGAATATGATTAAGAATAATGTGGTCTGGCTGGGATTCGTGTGCTTTTTTAATGTTGGCTCTGTGCCTTGTAGGGGTGTGGATTTGTCTCTGAAAATGAGCTGAGTTTGGAATAAAGTTTTTTGTCCTTATTTGCACACTTGTGGCCACGTACTACACAGACTGCCTCAGACCTGAGTCTGTGCAAGGCCAGTCAGGGCTCAGTCTGAAGCATGGTTGTTCCACAGTCTGCAAAACCAGCAACCTAAAACCCTAACTGACTGGCTTAGGTAATGTTTTGTCTCTGTTTTAGTGCATACAATGTTTAAATGATGGCAAAACCTGTATCAAGTACCACTCTGGTCTTGGGCAGTAGCATGCTTTGGAGATCGAGCAGAGATTTCTCAGTTTAAAATATATTCTTTTTGCAGGTGAAGCTGTGTGATTTTGGCTTTGCACGTATCATTGGTGAAAAATCTTTCAGGCGCTCTGTGGTGGGGACACCTGCTTATCTTGCCCCTGAAGTGCTCAGGAGTAAAGGTTACAACCGCTCTCTAGACATGTGGTCCGTAGGAGTTATTGTCTATGTGAGCCTTAGTGGTACATTCCCGTTTAATGAAGATGAGGATATAAATGATCAGATTCAAAATGCAGCATTTATGTACCCACCAAATCCTTGGAAGGAAATTTCTAGTGAAGGTAAAGAAATTAATTTTCTCTATTAGAATGTCTTTATATGTAGATAACGCATTCAAATGCTTAAACCTCGGGGTTCATTCAGATAGGAGTGTGAGAATTATTGATGGTTTGAGTTTAGTAGACTATGCCAAAATGGATAAACATGAGCTGGCATATGTTTGTGAAAGATAAATTGTCAAATATAATGTTTTAGATCATTTTCAGGGCAGGAGGAGCCAATAGATTTAGCAAGAAAAATTAATTGCATGCATGAGGAGTGGGATGAATAATCTGAAACTTCCCCAAATTCCCAATGAAAAGTTAAATCATGTGTGAGTATTTGCTGAACGCTGATCTCAAAACAAACTTTATCTAAACTATACAGAAATGGTTCAAAGTTGAGTCTGGAATTTTAGTTTTGTACATTAGAAAGTGAAACAAAACCTGGATCTAAATATCAGGTCTGAACAATCTAGAAGTTTACGAGGTTGATCCCGAGAGCTCTCCAATGCCAGCTTTGTTATTAGTAACGTATATACGATTAATACACAGGTAGATGTGGAAGCACATATACAAAAGTATACAATAGTGGAAGTACCTACATAATTTTGGAACACAGGATTATGCTCAAGTTATTTAGGCACTTCTGAAAATCACTAAAATCAGTAGGGAAAAAGATTAACGAGTAATATAGTAAAGCTTTTAGTGTTTCCATCAAAGTGGGGGGAAGCTTACCCCATACCTATTTTGTAGCCTCATTTAACATAAACAAAGCTAAATATAAAATTCAAGAGCTTGATTAAGTTTAAAAGAGTTCAGTAGGATACACACATAAAAAAAAGTTTGCTTTCACTGCAGCATGTGAATGACGATAGAGGTGATTAGTATTTAAACAATATAATTTTTGTTCTGTTCTTCTTTGTCAGCCATTGATTTAATAAACAATTTGCTTCAAGTGAAGATGAGAAAACGTTTCAGTGTTGACAAATCCCTTAGTCACCCATGGTTACAGGTAAACCCATCTGCCTTTTTCACTATGTTTATAATGGGTGAATAATGATTTTATTTTTTTTTTTTTTATTAAATCCTTCAGAGGCTTATTGAAACTGCTTCTATCAAAGTCTGTTAATAACCATTCATGGAGGCTGGAGTATTTCTGGTTTTAGCTTTACATTTTATGTGCTCCAGGATTCTGCCCATCTATTAATGGCTTCTTTCCTCAAGGAAAATTTTGTCTTAGTGTCTCTCCCGCCCCTTACTTTCTGTCTGACACCAACATGGAGTTTTACTCTTCTGGCATCTCTCCTGAATGTGGGCAGTGATGAGTGCCTGGAGCCCCACTGAGATCAGTATCGAGACAAACATTGTTCAGTGCTGAAGTGGACGCGCAGGCTGGTGTGTGCTGTAACGTGTAGTCGTTTTAGAAGAGAATTGTTTGGAATGGAATTTATCCGCTTGTTTGGCACGGGTTCCTTTCACAATGGGTTCACAATCCTGTACGCACGTTTCCACGCACACAAATAACGTAAAAGACGTTAAGGGGAAAATCCAATTAATTTTGAGTACAAACAATATTGGAAGGAGTATAATTTCATGTATGTGTATATATACAATTAATTTTATAATAAAGCTAACATAGCTGTCTTGTTACAAAGAGTTTTCATGATTTACAGTATTATGATCTTAGATACTAGCCTATTTAATTTGGAACCATTCCTTGTGGACACTCTGTTGGGGTATTTTTTGTGTGTGTGTGTTTGGTGGGTTTTTTTGGGCTTTTATTTATTTATTTTTTTTTAAAACAGATCTGGTTGATTTTATCATGTGACTGTTTATACTAAAAGTAAAGACAAACTGCAGGATTTATCTGTGGGAGTGTATTGCTGCTGTTTCTTAAACTACTTCCTTAAATCTCTTTTACTCCTTAGGATTATCAGACTTGGCTTGACCTCAGAGAATTTGAAACACGCATTGGAGAGCGTTACATTACCCATGAGAGTGATGATGCACGCTGGAAAGAACATGCTTATGAACACAACCTCGAGTACCCCCAGCATTTTATTATGGCTCCTAATCCAGATGACATGGAAGAAGACCCTTGATTTGTTCCTTATGCTAAATCGCAGCGCAGAAGGACACTCCAGACAGAAACCGAAGCTAAGTTTTGGAACAACTGTTGCTCTTTCTGAATGCTGTGCACGTAGTTGAGTATACAAAGCACCAGAGGATCCTGCATTGACAGGAGAATAGACTGTCGTCTGACAAGCTTTTCTCCATCTCCGACTTAAACTATGAGTAGTTACTGGACAGTGGGGTAAGCCCCACTGGGTAACGTTTCACCAAGCTGTGTGGCTCCAAAGCCTTTGCTGACGTGTAATGTGTACAGATTGAATGGTTTGTGTGTTTTTCAAGGTTGTTTTTTTGGTTGTTTTGGGGTTTTTTTGGTTTGGTTTTTTTTTTTTCCCATAGCCTACACAATAAGAATTTTGTAATGGTTTTCTAATCCCTATTTACTAGGCCATAGAGGACTGTTTTCTGTTACTTAGATACATCTCCTGTTTCCTAAACTGTGCATGGTGAAAAGAGCCTGTAAAAAGAAATCAGTGCAGAATACCTTGGCTAATACCAAAACGTGGTGGTTTAGGTTGAATACAGCTTCATAGATGAAGGAATAATTTGCTGCTGTTAAGACAGTTAAATATGTGTGTCTTTGCCCTAATTGAACTTCTTTCAGATACTCAAAAAAAACCCAGCCCCGTAACTTCTTACATTCCTCTTGACATGCTGGCTGACAATCTAAAGAGATGACAATCAAAGCTATGCTGTCCTTTATTTTGTCTGTTGAAACAGAGCAATAAACCACAACGGTGTGTTGCTGTGCAAGGCTGGCACACACATCATTGATGCACACCAAAGGCATTGTGCCTTAAAACTACACGAGTAATGCACAAGAGAGCACACGAGACTTGATGTAGCATATCCTTTCACTCTGGAAAAACAGCTTCTAGCAGAAGGATGTGGAAGAATAGGGAAAAATACATGCAGCTTTCTTCTGTTGTTTTGAGTAATTAGACTTCTAAATTTTTCTAATATTTTTCTAATTTTTTTAAGGTTCCCTGGACTTACATCAGGAGTAGTTTGTAGCCTGCTAGCTTGTATCTTAACTCTGCTCAAAACCTAGGAGTAACGGTGGATATCAGATCACCTGTTGCTTCTGCCAGGGCAGCTGGATTGTAGGAGAAAGGGCTTTGCCTCCTGGCCTTGACCTGCAGCCTCTCCCGCCCTCTCTGCTGTGCTCAGCATTGTTGTTTGAGCTGAATGAAGGGTCCAAAACCAACTCCTAATTCAGGTTTTTATGCAGATGCCTCAGTTGATGGATTCCCAACCACTTGCTGGACTTGTGGCACGATAGAGGGGAAGCAGCAATATTCTTTGGAAGTGATTCCCTCGGAGGACAGCGTAACGGTTAAAGTTCATGGTATTTCAAAGAAGTTTGAGGCCATGAATGGTAAATGCAAATGGAGGAGTTGAAATCTTTCCTTTTGTGTGGGATAACAGCATTGTGCTGGTGGAAGGTGCTGGATGGCTGTACATATTCCTGATGTGCCAAGCTGCTCAACTCTGGAGCTTGGTTTGAAATACTTTTTAAAATACTGATACAGGCTTGAACTGTAAAGTCAGTGAGAGGCTTTGGGGTATCTCCCCTCTCTCCTACAAAGATTTTTTTGTTTTGTTTTGTGTGTGTGTGTGTATAGATAAGTATTTTTTTTTTTTACTGTTGTTATTCAGGTAAGGAAGCAGGTGAGCAGACTTTTTCTAAGTTGTTAGACATACATAAAATTTCACAAGGTTATTTCAGGACTGGCAGCCGCTTGCAATGACAGTGACCTGGCAGTAAAGTCGGTGGCAGTTGCAGAAGTATGTACCCACAGATAATGTGGGTTAAAGACCCAAACCTTACTTTTCCTATTGCCCTTAATCTAACTACCACTGAATTTTGTAGGTGTCTGAGTTGGTAACGGCTGAACGCTGGCTTCCCTGTGAGGATATACCAAACTTTGTACAAGGCGTTGGTGCAATCTGTGGCAGTTTCCTACAGCCAGCAGCGGGCAGAGTGTTTCAGCCCCTCCGACCACCGTGCGTCCTCTCTCCTGGCAGGTGTTTTTCTCAGGTTTGTGTGAGGGACTTGCCCGATGGCAGTCCCTGCCCTCCTACGCCGGGGGTCATCCTCCCCCTTCTGTGCTGTCAAGGCAGTGCCAAGGAGTTCAGAAGGGGCAGAATTTGTCCCTTAGCCTTGCCATCCTGTTAAGGCAGGGTTTCAGGACCGATTCTTCAGAGAGGCACTATTTTTCGTCTTTGGAACCAGAACAATCGCCTATGAGGTTGGTAGTCTAGTATTTGCCCAGGCTTGGCAAGGGAAGCAGTGCTTTTTTTTTTTTTTTTTTTTCAACTTCCACTGTTCAACTGACCAAATTTCAGTGAAGCCATTGCTTTCTTTCATTCTAACTGTAATAATGTAGATAGAGTCTGGTTTTAAACTTCAGATTTTATACTTGAGCTGTCACTTCAGGTTTTCCTGTGGGTGGGTTGGTTGGTTTGTTTTGTTTTAAGGGAGGAAAAAAGCCAGCTCAGTCACTTGAAAAAGCACAACAGGAACAGAGGAAGGAGGGGACAACAATGAAGTAGAAGGCCTGGCTGATGTCTCTCCCCATGAAGTCTGCTCTGCTCCAAAATATTATACGAGCTATTTATTCTTCAAGTTGTATTAAAAAAAAAAAAAAAAAAAAAAGCTGTTGGCCTTTGGGGATTACCTGACCATATATGCAGACTTACGGGGCCAGACAATAGAAGCCACAAGCAGCTAATTGTTGAGGAACCAAAAAATCTGACATACATTAGGAGTAAACTTTCTTCAAAGTAGTAAAAATAGCTGAGGTTTTTATTCCCTTTTTTCTACCTTTACTGCAAACTTTGACAGCAGTAGGTTACAGTGTTTCATATCCTTACCCCTAGAGGAATTAAGTTGCGTTCATTCAAGAAATAGTGCTATGATGATGCTAGAAAAAAGCTCATGTAAAATTTATAGCCTCGAAAGGACACTGTCAAGTACTTTTATATTTTTATACATCCTATTGTTTGTAAATATCCTCTGATAAGCTTGAAAATAAAATTTATTTCCCTATCAGACTTGTTCTTTTTATTCACATGACTTCTCCCTCCTATCACATGTTCTTAGAAGTAAGTGTTTCTTTATGCTTCCTTGATTGTGGATCTGTCATTAGATATGCCCTGCTGTGGGAATTCTGTTAGCAGGTGCTTTGGAACTAATAACTCTTTTTGCATGGTTCCTGTCACCATTCGCTTTATAAAAATATCTTCAAATATGTCAAGGCATCTTGTGTTTTAAGCAAAGACCAAAGCTAAGTACCCTGAAAGTCTCCTTAGCACATCTGTTTGTTACTAACAAGTTTTTGCTTGATTCCACTAGTAAATACTTCGCTCAGCTCTGTTGTAAGACCCCTGAAACATCGTTTATTCTCTGCTCTGTGTACGCTGGTTTCTGTCTGCGCAGTGATTGATTTCCACACACACTGCATAGGCCAGGCAATAGGTTTCATATGCTGCACTAGATTTACTCTGAAATAGCACTCCCCACCAAAATGTGGCTAGGCCCTGAAGCGTAGATTGGTGTGAGAAAATTACCTGGAGAGGTAACGTGACATTTCATTGGGCTTTTGGTTCAAAGATAAATCAAAATATTTAGTTCTTACCTTACTGCGTATGTAGCTATATGCTGAGTATTGCAAAATATTTAGTATATGAAACCATAAAATGCAGGACTCTATTCCTTTTACTTTGGGTTTTTTTTTTTTTTATTTAATAAGTTGCTATTGAAAGCTACTATTATCAGACACTTTGCTAAAGTATTTGAAATTACTTCAGTAAGAGTTCACCAAATCCAGCAACAGGCGGTAAGGGAGACTTTGATTCTGGCTTTTGTTTTGTGTCAGGATGTGCAAGTCTGTGGTGAGGCAGCAGGGCAAAAAAGTTAAAACAGTCCCCCATCTTCTTGGGATTCATCAGCATATCATAGCTGTGAAGTAACTGCTCATGAGTTGCTGGGTCACGTGAATTCTGCAAAAGCACCTAAAAAAAAAAGAATGTAGGTTATAGCCCTTCCTGCTTTCCTATAAATTCTCTTAATACCTGCAATCTCTTGTTGCATCCTTTTTACTTAAACTAATGTAACAGTGCCGTAATGTTCAGTAGAAGTGGCGAGATCCCTGGTGGAGCTCGTACATTGCTGTATGTAGCAAAGTTTTGCATTAAATACTCATAAATATAATACAATCGGTTTACTTTGAGGGATCCAGAGTAACTTATGTCTAGGAGAAGCAACTCTCTGATCTCACACCTACATGTTGTTTTGAACAACTTTCTTTTAAAATCAAATTTTTATAAAAGCTCTCTTGTTGCTTAAGAGTATTGCTTGTGGACCAGGAGAGTTTATGTACCTGTAAACACTGTCCTACCTGCAATCGGAGGTCAATGCCCATGTTTTTTAAGAACTCCCGCTGTTTTACGGGGCCTAATGTGGCTGTTCTTCCCTGCGCCATCTTTCGAAGATAGCTGAAATCAACATCTGCTGTCAGGTCTGCTGTACCTGGCGCTCTCAGCACATCGTGAAGTTTGTGATTCTGGAAGCCCTGGAAAATTAAATTGGAAGATTATACTCAGCTGTACTCCTAGCTACCACAGCTGGGGCTAGCAAAGACCAAGTTGTGCATGTGAGGGGTGAGAATAGCAAATTATACTTTGAAAATTTGAGATAAATGTAGCAAGGGCTCAGATTATCCTTTCTGTCTGGCAGAAACCCTTATGGGTACTGATTAAATAAGAACTCAATTACTCAGTTTATGATTACAGTATAATGCAGTTTTTGCTATTATGTCCACCCAAGATCTTTCTCTTACAAGAACCTAATGATCCAAGTGACAAATGAAAGATAACAGAGTATTTTGGCTTATTATTTCAGGGTAAATGACTTACCCGGAAAGTGTCAGTTTTGGTTCCATCATGACCATAATCAGCAACCAGTGCAGCCCCACCATCCTTTTCTATACGACAGGCAAGCCTCTGAATGATGACACCAGCCTCAGGACACACTTCCACATGGTCTCTTGTTTCTTCAGGCTAGCGCAGAGTTCAAAAATCAAAACACCTG